AAATATCTTTCCGTTCTATATCAAATGAATTCAACTTAGAAATTTCCTGACCAAATTCAGTCAGAGTTTTATCATTCCTATTCCTAAATGCTTTACTCGTGGTAATGCTAGATGGTAAAGGGCTCTTTAAGGAACATGGAATTTCTACAAATACAACATTACTTTCCCCACACAGAATACAGAAGGTAAGTCTTGCAAGTAATTTCACTAGTACAGTGGTTTAAAAAGTACACTCCCTAATCAGACCTTGTTCAAATCCTGTCTCCTATGTCTATTATTCATGTCTTCTTGGGCATTCCTCAGGTGTAAAATGTGACATCAGTGATATTTATCTTGGATAGATACAGGGCCTAATTATAGCAGGAACTGAGTAGCTGGAAGTAACAATGATTACAAGGTGAAACAAAAGGTTTAATCGGGTGTAGGTCTCATCAGTGTTTTTACCAGTAACTGGGGAATTTTTCCACTTCAAATTTTTTCCTTAGGAAAATGTTGCCATAGCTATTTCTTTTCCTTAAAACTTGATACTGTGTTCCTAGGGTGTGTCTTTTATGACAGATGGTCAACAGACAGTTGTAAAAGAAAGTGGAATGCAGGCACATTTCATTTATTTGTGGGAAATGTTTTGGTGCCCCTCCCTTCAACACATAGGAAAATGAAAGTCAGAAACTGGAAACTCCATTATGAACAGACAGTGCTGTGATCTCATCGTCTAAACTGTAGACCTTTAGAAAATATTTATAGCATATTGGAAACTAGTTACTGACCAGTGTCTCATCTTGTGTGGTGTTTACTTTGACTTTTTTATTTTTGGAGTACTGGGATTTGAACTGAGGACCTTGTGGTTGCTAAGCAGGTGCTTTACTACTAACTACTGACTGCTAACTTCTAATCCTGTTTTAAAAATAAAACTAATTTAGAAATTGCAAATTGGGGGTAAATTAAAATTGAATGATGAAATGTCATTAATGACAACAGTACACTTTTTGTCTAAAGAGAAGATGGAAAAAATGACTAACACTGTAGTAATGGAGATATTTGTGAGCATAACATATTCAAGACATTGAGGCCATGCATACATTTACTGAAGAAACAATTTAGCAAATTTACTGTCACTGATCCATCTCAGGCATTGAGATATAGTTTTGTTGAAAGGGAATTCAGCAGTAGAACTTGAGAATATAATAATTCCTAAACCCATTACTGTTTCCATCTTTTAAGTTAAGGCAATCTTATTTTTAAACCTATAAGAAAATTTCTAGATTCCATAAAGGAAAACCTTATATAAGTAATAGCTTATATATTAGCGATTGCATTAAATTTAAAAAGTTAATAAATGGGGGCTGGGAAGGTGGCTCAGTGGTAGAGTGCTTGCCTCAAATACATAAGGCCCTGGGTTCCATTCCTCAGCACACGTAAGCAGAAAAAGCTGGAAGTGTCACTGTGGCTCAATGGTAGAGCGCTAGCCTTGAGCTGAAGAGCTGAGGGACAGCGCCCAGGTCTAGAGTTCAGGCCCTACAACCAACAACAACAAAAAAGTTAATGAATGTATTCAAACACTGTATGTACATATATCTGTAGTTAAAACTTTTCTGTCTTTAACCTTTTATTTAACCTTTTAGAACTCTGTAAACCTCAAGGCCTGGGCACTGCCCCTGAGCTTTTCTGCTCAAGGCTAGTACTTTGAGCCACAGCACCACTTCTGGTGTTCTAGTGGTTAATTGGAGATAAAAGTTTCATGGGGACTTTTCTGGCTAGGCTGGCTTTGAACCATGGTCCTCAGATCTCAGCTTCCTGAGTAGTTAGGATTACAGGCAGGAGCCACCAGCACCTACCTCATTTTATACTTTGAAATGTTATGTTTATGGAAACTTAAAAATTTCCACAGATTATATGTGTATACTTATTTTTTTTAATTTTGCCAAGTACTACTGGCTCATGCCTATAATCCTTGCTACTCAGGAGGCCGAGATCTGAGGATCACAGTATGAAGACAGACCAGGCAGGAAAGTCTGTGAGGCCCTTATCTCCAATTAACCACCAGAAAACCGGAAGTGCTGTTGTGGCTCAAAATGGTAGAGTGCTAGCCATGAGTGGAAAAGCTCAGGAACAGTGCCCAGGCCCTGAGTTCAAGCCTCACAACTGACCATAAAACATACCTCAGGTTATTGTTATTAATTATTTTAAACAGGGTCTTGCTATGTTGCCTCGGCTAGCCTCAAACTTGTGATTCCCCTACCTCAGCTTTCCTAAGTACAAGAATGACTGAAAATTTTTCTTGATTTTTAAAACAATACTAATTGTTAAAAGCAGTGTAGAAAACGAAAGTCCTTATAGTCTTCTCTTCACCAATCCCACACCCCAGGTAGCAGTTTGATGAGTATTTTTCCATATTTCCATGATTACATTTTCCCTTCTGTGTTTGTATGCATCCTTAAAAATATTCACTTGTATATATATTTCTAAAAATCCATCCAAAGGAACTAGCCAATTAGAATTAATTAGTGAGCTTGCCTAGGGATTTTAATATTCTTTCATATTTAAGGTGGGGCAGCTCAAAATTTATGGTACTTTATTTGATGACCTTAAATATGTATTTGGCTTTCTTGATTTATTTAATAATCTGGAGTTCCTAAGTGTAGTTAGTCATTGTTTTAATCACTGTGTTTTCTTTGGTCCTGTCCCTAACCACATCTTTAACAAAACATCCCATAGTTACATTCATTTTTTATTTTTTACTTTATTTTTTCGGTCGTGGGGCCTGAACTCTGGGCCTGGGCACTGTCCCTCACCTTCAGCTCAAGGTGAGCACTCTACCACTTGAGCCACAGTGCCACTTATGGCTTTTTCTGCTTATGTGGTGCTGAGGAATCAAACCCAGGGCCTCATGCAAGGCAAACACTCTACCACTGAGCCACCTTCCCAGCCATAGTACATTTTAAAATGAGCAGAATCACATATACTATGACAGGTAGGGTTTTTTGGCTCCTATTTGAAGAATAATGACTCTACTTGTGAATGTTTTTCTCAATGAATAATTGATATGAAGCTTATTTACAATAATTTGGGCTCAAAAAGTCATCTCATCTTTATTAAGATTTTAAAAAATAATTTTGGAATACTTGTGGCTCCTCAGAACTGAAAAAAAGAGAAAGAAATGAATAATATTCATTATAAACTCTCTTACTAAAACAATTTTATTCAATTTTTAAAAGTTATAACAGTTATTTAAAAATGATCCTTTATATAAGTGTGCGTAATGTTCTGAAGGTATTTTAGGGAATCCTGCTTTTAAAGATGAATAGTTATTTAATTGTATATTATATACCCTGAAATTTTGGGGGGCTTTTCCTGTTTATTCTTGCCTTCTTTTGAATTCAGTGAATTTTGTTTTGATGTCTTATTTCTTTTTTACAGTTCATAAAAATTCTTGGTTTTTAATTGTTGTCCTTACTTACTAAATCTAAATTTCATTAATAGCTTTATCTTCCTCCTAAACAATATGGACTTACTTGCGTTTTCATTCTGATTTCTCCTCCTGATTTCCCTGCTATTTTGCTTGTTAATAATACTAGAAACGAGACGTTATCATCATTCTGTTTTATTTTCTTATATCTACCATTTTCTTTGCATATCCTCCTTACCTGAACTCAGAGCTTTTGGGATCAAATGATAATTTGGGACTGGCTAATAGCTGGATTATCATATATAGGTATTTCAGTGCCTCAGGAAGAAAAGGAGAAGAGAAAGGCCTTAGGAGGCTTTATCCTCCACTCTACTCCACCCTGCAATGTTTTATTAGTATTTTCTTCCTACTTTTCCTAGTTGGTATGCTTTATGAAGTACAATGAAATATGGTAGAATACTAAAGTTAAAGATCCTCATCTTAAAGGACTTTTACTTGTTCTGAGATTGTGTCCTTACTTCCTTTGACTGTTTAAAATTACCTTCTTAAGTTTTACAAAATAGTGGTAATGATAATTAAAGTTATTTTTGACTTGGCTTTTAAATTTGTTAACTAATTTTGTTTTAACATTCACTTGATAAATACAAGTTGCAAATCACAACCCAGAGATTTTGAAATTGTACGATCTTCAAATCCCAAATCACTGGTATAAACAGTTATAAGTTTGGGGTAGGCCATCCAGAACTTTATTGATTCTTCAGAATGTGCATAAAACCTGTGGTGTTAACAGGGCTTGGCCACCTTTAACACCTGGCTGAACAGTATTAGATTATCATATATCCTTCAGTACTCTCCTAACAATTTAAACTATGCTTAGTAATTTCCACTAGGCTGAATCTACTATATGCACAAAATGACCTCAGAACTTCATGCATTTTTTTTCATACATGTAGTATTTATACTCCCAGTTTTTAAAGAACACTCCTTTGAGAGTTATAAAACCAGTAACTTCACAGGAGGATCTTAGACTAGTGACCTCAAATTGTTTTTCAGCAGTAATATAGTTGTAACTATAGTTGTAATTATACTTTTTCAAAAGTCTTAAAGTCAACTATTTCATGTGTATTAGTGTTAAGTCTTTGATCCATTAGGATATGGAAGAGATTTAAAGTTTCCTACATAGGCTAGTCTTTCAGAGGTAAATTTTGTCTGTAATATTAGTGTTGCCATTTTGGAAGATGTTCTTTCTTTATTTCCTTTTATGTGGTCACTATGAAATCTCCACAGGATAACTTGAGTTCTCATTTCTCTTGGGTGATGCTTGAGAGAATCACGCATTTATTTACTTATTTTTATATCATCATATGTTCGACACCCATCTTTTCATGTATTGTGTCAGTCATTTTTCTAGGGTACCCAAGTGACGACTCCTTAAAGATGCCCCAACCACTGCTTTTGAAGACTTCTGAATTCATGACAAAAATTGCTATTTGGAATTTTTTTTTTATTTTCTACACGTACAAGAAAAGGATATTAAAAGAACTCATACTAATTGTAGAGAAGAAATTAACTGTCCTACACATTTCTTTTCTAGTGAAGGAAAGTCGTCCCCCAGAGTGGAGCTGCTGCACAACATTGACCCAGACTTCGTAGACTTTTCACCATGTGAGTGTCCAGTCCTTTGCTGCTAAGCTAAATCCCTTTAACTCAAAGAGAAGTTATACTACCCACTTTTCCTCTACTCTGCCTTTTCTATCCACCTGAGTTGTTGCAAAGGTGAACAGTTCTCCCTGACATACACTTCACTGATTACCTGGTAGGCTTGATACCTCAAATCACAACTCGATACCACAGAGGGCCAAATACTGTGAAAGAAGCAGTATGAATCAAGGAGGTAATATTATTCCTGACTTTGCCACTGATTAGCTGTATGACCCATAAGCCATTCCACTCTTTGTACCTCAGCTTGCCTCAGCTTTACAGCCGGGGAAGCCCCCTTCATGCTGATGTCATGTTGCAGTTGCGTGTTAGAATTCCAGAGCCTTAAATAAGTCACTCTTAAGTTCTAGGGTGACCAGGTTCATCTGCTGGATCTCCAAGGTGGCATTTCTCTAATCTTGGATATAAGTAGCTTCATTCTGCCAGCTACTAAGCTTAACCTATAATGAGCTTTACTAATACTGTCAAGGTAAGGGGACTTCTAGTGTTCTCATAATATGACAGGCTGTGCCATAAACACCACATTAGTGGCTTTGGTGCCCCCAGGATAGTCAGCTTAGACTGGAAAGCCTCAACACTAAACCTATGTGCAGATCTTCTGTGCTTAGCTTGAGTCTATCTCCAGAAAGCAGCATTCTCACATGTGTATGCTCTCTTCTTCCTTTCTAGACATGCTGCTATCCTTCATTTTAGTAGTCCTAGTCTATGCTACAGATGATCACAGATTTCTTGCTCATACATTCCTTCTCAGACAGTAACCTACAACATTTCTAAATGCGTCACTGGGCTTTTGTAGAGTAAAACCAGCTTAGAAAGCAGTTGTTACAGAGTATAACTTGAAGCCTCACATTTGAGTCAGTATTATCATGAAAACACTTCTGTGGTTTCTAAAGCCAGCACTTTCCTAACTGATAGAAGAAACTTAGGGAAGAAGAGCCTAGTGTTTTCATCCCCACCTGCCCAAAGCCACTTCATCAGTTTTTTTCATCTGTGAAAACTGAATTAAATGATCTCTACGATCCCTTCCAACTTAAGTATTCTATGGATGTTTATAGATCTCAGAGGAGCAAGGCTTTCCTGATAATACACAGTTGTGTTATCAAAGGGAAGGTCATAAATACATGTAAAATGTTAGAAGCATTGTAAGTACTAGAGCAATATGGATTATTATATGATTTAATTATTGCTACATTTTGCCTACTTCTCTGATCTTTGTTCTAGAACATCATTGCATCAGTCCATTTTTCTATCTCTTCTCTCCCTTACCAAGCCTCCTCCAATCATGAATCATGTAAATATTATTTAGGTGTATAAATATAAACTATATAAATGTGATCATATAAATCATGTAAAGATGATTGTCATTGGATGTTCCCAAGGGATGCCTTGCCTTCTACATGGCACTGATTCCCTCAGAAGCTGGCTTCTGGTATTTGAGAAGCTCTACCCCATACTCCTTTTTCAGAGTGTAGAGAATATCCACAACTCTTTCTACTCATGGAGGTTAGGATTTTTCTTTCCTGGTGACTTGAATACTAATAGTAAAAATGCTCAAAGACTGACTTAAAGGTGGGTATACACACATGTACAACAAAGGTTATGAGTCTCTCACAGTTCTGCACTCAACCATAAGAGAACCCATCAGGATGACTAGGGGGAGTTGGTGTTGATGATAATGTTAGGAGATTGGAATCTTGTATATCATTGGTGGGAATATAAAATGGTGTAGACACTATGAGAAAACAATGTAGTTCCTCAAAAAATAAAAATTAGAATTTTAATAGGATCTAGCAGTGTTACTTCTGTACATTTCGTGAAAACAATGAAAAATGGAACAAACAGATCTCTGCACACCCATGTTCATAGCAGCATTGTTCATAAGTGGACATAGAGTTACCGTTTTACAAAATGTAAAGAGTTCTGGAGATGGATAGTGGGGGTAGAAGTTTCTGATTTAAATGTGCTTGATGGCACTGGACTGTACAATTAAAGATAAAGTAGTACATTTTGTATTTTATCATACCAGGCTCCCCACCCCAGGGATAGATGATACTAAAAAAAGATCCTGTTTCCAACGAAGCATTTCTTTACTCGCTTTTCTTTATTTCTGGTAGAGCCCAAACATTTTAGTCTGGGCTTCTAAGAGTAACATGTTAATTTTAGCTGATAAGGCAATCTGTGCTGGTTTCAGATTCAACTCTTCAATCCACTCTGACTTTCACATGGAGGAAGCCTGATTTGTTGAGACTTGAGTGTGTTCAGACTCTTTTCTCTCCCAGTCAAGACTAGATAGTCTCCTACTTCAGTTCTCCAATCCTGCAGTCTGTAGGGATAAATATGTACATCTTTGTTCAAAGACTCGACATAAAACTCTGGAAAAATGTAAAAACATAATGTTTTGTGGGATATATCCAGTAGACTTAAAATATAGTAAGTGTACTTTTTTTTTTTTAACCTGGGGCCTGGGCACTGTCCCCGAACTCTCCCTGGGAGTGGAAACAGCTCCACTCCCAGCTTTCTGGTGGCTAATGGGAGATAAAAATATAAATTTTCCTGCGTGGGCTGGCTTTGATTCTCAGATTTCAGCCTCCAGAGTAGCTAAGATTATGGGCATGAGCCACTGGCCCCTGGCTTACTTCTAAAACATCATACTGAAGATTGAACCCAGGGTCTCTAGCTTGCTGGGCAAGTGCTCTAGCACTTGAGCCATACCCCTAGCTTATCTTACCAGAGTCTTTAAGGCTTTAGGATAATGAGTATAAAAGGCAGAAACTTTGAAAAAAAATCTGGGAATTAAGCTGGCAAAACTGACTAAATGGTCTGCCTTTAAATTTCCATAATGCAAGATGTTAGTAATCAAGCATTTATAGACTGAAGACTGTTGTTGCTTTGGCCTCTGTCTCTGAAGAGCTTTTTGAATCAGAGAAAAACATAAATGTAACATAGGTCCCATGGTTTTCCTTATTTACATAACTAGTATATGTCTGAGACAAGCAGAAAAGGTCAGATAAGTTGATATTAGGTGAAATGAATCTGAAGATAAGTGGTTTTTCTTTCTTGCTATTGTTTCTAATACATTTATAAGGTGCTTTGTATGTCCCTCCCCCATGGTATAACCCCTGTTTTCACCGTATTTGATGTTGGTATAATTTGGGGAGGGGAAGGGAAAAACAAATTGTTTAAATAGGGATACAGGTAGACCCATTGCAACAATGAAATGTACAAGATGCTATATTGGAAAATGAACTTTACAACTTTGACGGCGGGGTGGTCCTGGAGATGTGAGAGCAGGGATGGTAGGGGAAAAACAAAGGAAGAGGTAACAATGCCTGATAAGAAATGTACTCATTGCCTTGCTCATGTAATTGTAACCCCTCTGTACCATATTTTCACAATAAAAAACTTATTAATAAAAAAAGAGAATACAGTTAAATAAAGTGACAACAAATGGTAAGTGATAAATGGAATGAGAACTAAACATGAGAACTAAAGAGAAAGAAATGAGAACCATTTGGGAATGACTAGGAAAAGTTCTCAAAAAAATAAAATAAAATAAATAAAATTTTGTCTGTTGTTTCAACACTTTGGTTTGATCTCACTCTGTATGAAGAGAAGTAGTATTTTATGTAATTAGTTAATGGCTTACAACTAAATACGGTTTTTCAATTCTGAAAGTCCAAAGACTGACTTGGCCTCAGTGAATTAAAATCCCTGGTGTCAACAAGGCTATATTCTCAGGAGAGTCCCCTTTCAGGCCTCTTCACTTTTGTAGGCCACTTGCATTGCTTTCTCCATCTTCAAGGCCAACAATGGAGCACTGAATCCTTCTGAAAGCACCTCCTCTATCTGCTTCTGTCAGCATTTCTTCTCCTCTGACCTCTTCTCCCTTCCTCTTAAGCTTCTCAGGACTCAAGGCCATGAGGCCCAGGTAGATAGCCCAGCCTTTTCTCCCTACTGAAATCAGTTGATTAGCAGTCTTCATCCCATCTTCAGCTTGAATTCCCCTTTGTCCTGTAACCTAGCACTGTCACAGGTGCTGGGGAATAGGACCCAGAAACCTTTGGGGCCATTATTCCATCTACAACAAATACCTTGTCTCTTAAGCCAGCTTTATTTAAAACTAAAGAATGGCCTATAACCTAGAGGAACAAGAATATATGTAAAGTTTAAAGCAAAGCAAATAATAGACGAAGGCAACAGTGATAGTACAAGTGTTATGCACTGTACTTGATTAATTACCAGGTTCTTTCCATTGGGTCTGATAGAGTTGCTCTAGAGCAGAGGTGTGACTCCCACAGGCTGACTGTTGAGGGGAAGGGGACTTGCTCTGTACCTGGGAGACTCTCTGAAGGGGGGAAAAGCCAGCACAGGAGTAGAAGACTTAAGTGTGTGTGTGTGTGTGTGTGTGTGTGTGTGTGTGTGTGTAAAAGTCTGTTCAGGGGCAAGGTAAGTACAGATTGTGCCAGATTCACTCAGGAGACAGGGCATGATTCTGTATGCACTGAGGAACTCTATAATACTTTCATACAAGTAATATGTAGAGAGAGGGAAGAAATTTTGTAATATACAGAAATGTGTGATGAAAGTAAAATCACATTAATCCACTATCCTGCCAACCCCACAAAACGACTGTAAATGTTTCAGTGTGCTTTTTCCATTTCTCTCCTTTTTACTGCTTTCACTTATTAATACACGAAAATAAAATACATCAATCAGGTCATATATTTTAAATTAATTTTAGCATAAGTGCATGTGGATATTCATCTTAAAAATCCATACACAGCAACTTTATTAATGCATAGTATTTTTTATTTATTTATTTTATTTATTTTTATTTTATTTATTAATGCATAATATTTTTTCTTTTCCAATTTTTTTTCTTTTTGCCAGTCCTGGAGCTTGAACTCAGGGCTCAGGCACTGCCCCTGAGCCTCTTTGTGCTCAAG